AGACATTGAGGGGGGCTAGTCCCCCCAATAATTAGAAATTGCTAAACCCTTTTCTCAAATATTGCCAATTCGAGAGAGAGAGAGAGATGAAAGTTGTGTGTATGCGTGTCTGTGCGTTTCTCTTTTTGGAGAGAGTTTACTTAAAAAAACAGCGATTTTATCCTCTTTGCTGGAAAATATAATGTAGCGATTCAGTATTTAAACTTGTAATAAAAGTCGTGGGGCAGCGTTGACAAGTTTCTTTTCTCCTGGATGTGTTAGCGGCATGATATCTAATGTGTGTGTGTGTGTGTGTGTGTGTGTCAGTAAGCAGCGCATTAATATAGAACGGTAATTAAAGGCTCTAATGCACACAAGCACACCAGTATAGGTGTGTGTATTGTAGGCGCTAGACGACGTGTGATGATGTGTGACGTATAGTAGTGGTGTCCCAATTCTTCTGGGAATATTTTCACCCCTACCCCTTGACACTCTGTTTCAAAGGACAAAGGGAAGGGGTAGGGGAAGGGGAAGGGGTATAAAATAGAATTGGGATTGGGCCTTACACACACACACAGAGTACATTATCACATGAAGAATGGATACATTTATTTGCTTGTAGTTTTTTTGTGTTAACTGTTAAGTTCTGCTATTGCTATCGGTTAATATCATTATTTTCGTATGTACATGTATAAACTGTATATATTTGCAGCCCTGTATGGCTCTTAAGCATGACTCTCATATTGAACACTCGTGTCCATCTTCCTCTCTGAGACTGCTGTTTGTATGTTCATGTTTCTTCCTGAGAAACCACTAAATAAACAGTGTTAGCTAGGTGATAGAGAAAGTCAGAATACAGTGCTTATTGGAAGTGAGAGTAAAAGGATTAAGAATGTTAAAGACCCAGGTATACTTCATTTTCCGCGTTCCGCTCAGTCTAGCACACAGTTGAACGCCAAACCATTCAAAATACACTCAATTGACAGCGCTCGCGTGCGCACTACCTAGTGGACCTTCGATTCCGAGCTCTCAAATCACTCGGGCTGCACGCGGACAGTTCTGGTGAAGAGAATTCCGCCACGGACTGTCAGCGAGCTGGAGCGGAACTCGGACAAGGAAAGTATATTTTCAGGCTTAAAATTATTTAAGTTGTCGGAGCACTACATTACTTCTTACACTGCGTGCCATTCAAGCTCAATCGGTGCAAAACTTTATATACTGTATATACACCGGGTTCCGTGGGTCAACAAGTTAAGGCTGGAATACACTACACGACTTAAAATCTGAACAGATTTTAAAACGATAGGCATCATACACTAGCAGACTTTAAAATTGTTCTGTTCACAACAATCTCATGCAGAAACGTGCACCTTGTTGCAAGCAGACGCATGGCAAATGAAAATCGGCTCAAAATATCAAGCATGTTTGACATTCTCCGACTAGTCTGAAGCTAAAAATCATACACTATACGCGCCGCGGTTTTCTATGAAATCTGTCAACTTAAATCTGCAGACTGGCTCTGACTCTCGGCTACTAGCTAACTTCTCTAGCATGTAAATGGGGGCAATTTCAGCCTTTAATGTCAGTCAACAGCACTTGGAGCATAATGTTGGTTTCCACCAAAAATATTTTCCACTTTTTCAAAAACAGCAACAATCTGGGTTACAATGAAGTAATGAGGCCTATTCGTAAACATTAAAATACTCACTGTTTAACATGATTTTAGCTTGAAAACTTTTCTTTATAACTTTACAACTTAAAATTATTAGAACAACTTCACATCTCAAATAATATGCCAGCTTTAACAGATGCATTAATGTAAGCGCTTTTATAAAACGGCACATTTCTGCTTTTTAATTCTTCAGAAAGTTACATCATTCACTTTTAGTTTACGTGTCTCACCATAGCATTGGTTTTTGCTTTTTTCAAGTGTCAAAATTAGTTTTTGTGGCAACATCACGCCATAAATGTTAATTGAACTTAACCTGTGAATTATATTGAACCTGGAATATTCCTTTAATGGTAGAAAGGGCACTGATCTATGATCATTGTGTTTCTTATATGTGAGATCACATGGACGAGAGAGCTGATCCTAGATCAGCATTCTTACTGTGGAAAGCCGTAAGAGCTCCTGATGCCCACTACAATCTACAATCTCTTTATGCTCTCTTAATATACTGTAATGTATTTTCCTGCATGGCCATCATTCAAGGAGTTGGACCACATGTACATTCACTGCCCCAGTCACTGAAGTTCTGCCCCTCTTTACAATGATCCAAGCCATAGAGAGGATTCATACATACCTACTAGGCTAGCCTTATAAATGAAACACCCTATCCCTTAATCACTTAGCAAATCCAGATTGATTCTCAATGGAACCGCCTATGTTATAGCTGATGTGTTATATCACTTGACTGCAAAATCCAAGGAGTTTGCGTGATGTGTGTATGTAGCCTATGTACATGTGTGATATCTGTTGACAGTGAGTTCAGAAGGACAGGCTTGATTGGTTATAGGATTGACAAGCCCTTGACTCTTCACTGCCACAGATGTAGTTGTTGTAATATATTGTCGCCTTCACTAGGTGGCGCTCAAATACTATTCACTTTGGAAACTGGTGACTACACCTTTACTATGTCTGTGTACATGTCTATCGTGCACTTTTCTTATCCCTTAATCACTTAGCAAATCCAGATTGATTCTCAATGGAACCGCCTATGTTATAGCTGTGATGTGTTATATCACTTGACTGCAAAATCCAAGGAGTTTGCGTGATGTGTGTATGTAGCCTATGTACATGTGTGATATCTGTTGACAGTGAGTTCAGAAGGACAGGCTTGATTGGTTATAGGATTGACAAGCCCTTGACTCTTCACTGCCACAGATGTAGTTGTTGTAATATATTGTCGCCTTCACTAGGTGGCGCTCAAATACTATTCACTTTGGAAACTGGTGACTACACCTTTACTATGTCTGTGTACATGTCTATCGTGCACTTTTCTTCTAGACCACACTAATACGAAGCGCCCTCATCCCTGATGCATAAATACCATCAGATTCGTGATTTATTACATGCATTATGCAACCCTGTCTTTTTAGCACATATTGCCTATGCTGATATGTTAAAAAAGTGTCTTGTAATATGTACAGCTATATAGTATACTAATTACCAAGTAAAGACAATGTATGCCTTTAATTGTGATATCTTTTTTCTGGTACCTGTAAAAAAAAATGCAATGATATCATTTGAAGCATGTATGAATTTTGGGGTTCCTGACAAGATGAGCATGATCTTCTAACTATTAAATATTATGAAGGCGAAACAGTTGTTTATGATATTAACTGTTGTAGTTACAACACATCAGGGTATTTGAACACTATCAAATATAACTATTGTGTTGAAAGGATCTCATACTCATCTGATGAGTTACAACTGTAACTCAAGCTGTCTTTACCCTGACACACCAATTATAGATTTTGGACTGGTTTTGTTGCCCAAATATATAGGAATTGAATGTATTTGACAAATAACATCTCTTCATTTTGTTCTTTTGTCTACATGATTCCCTTGTTGGTTGTAAATAAGAGATCTAAAAGTTCACTCCAAAAAATAAGAATGTTGTTGTCATCAAATACCACTGATCCTCATCATACCCTTTTTAAAGAATGGAATTTACATTTCTTTGTATAAAGAATTCAGAATCTATTTTCATCATGGATCATGTTTTGTGCATCAGCACATTCTTCTGCTGTCAGTCATAAATCCTATTGTTAAAAATCCTATTGTTTTTGGGGGGTTCATTATTACTTTTTTTTCTTTCTCATTCTCAGTTGTGTCCTTTTTAAATGACCTCTAAAGATAGATAGCAAAGGCAAAAACATTTGTCAACTAGTGACCACCCTGGTGAGTTGCTGGACTGCTGCATTGGGTGTGTCTTCTGAACTATAGGCCTTCCTTTGATTGAAACTAAAGACTTTGGCACCTCATTTCCAGCAGTGGATAAAGCAATCACTAAAATAATACATTCATTACTGTATGAATCAGTGATCTTCTTATTGTTTATACACAGAAAATAATCACATTTAAACCAACTCAACTGAAACCCCCCTCAAACCTCATACAGCCTGTTGACTAAACAGTTTGCACATCCTCTCTCCTCGAAGTGGGATTTTTGGAACCCTTCATTCTTCCTCCTATCTGTTTTTTTTAGATTAACTGAAGTTCCTGGGAGGAGAGATGATGCAATGTCAGTATTTGGGTGGGTAACAGACATTTTAAGTTACTCCTCTTTAAACAGAATAGTTAAAGACGAGAGAAGAAAGAGAGACGAGCAAGAGGGGCTTATAAAAGGATATTGTGAGGCCTTGTTCTCGAAAACCAACAAAGGAAAATTAAACAAAGGACATATCAAACAATGAAACAGAGGTCTTCCGCATTAGTGGTGAGTAATTCTTTTTGTCATGTTTTCCAGCTGCTTAATTTCTATATTCAGAAAATATATTGGTTTATTAGATTCCTTACAAAAATGATGTATCTCTTTTAAAAATTATTTGTACTTTTTTGAACTCATTTTTGAAAAAGCTTTCATGCTACGATGAAAACATTTACATTTTATTAATTAAAACAAATATGAGCCCCCTGATCCGCCATGACCTCCCGAACCCCCTGATCCGCCATGGCCTCCCGAGTCCCCCAGTTCTAGCCCGTTCAGTTCTCCCTTGTCTGGAATTGTATGTTGATGCCTTCTCCTCGTGGTACGTGTGATTCCCTGTGACAAGAATAAATCCCTCTGTTTCGTACTCCTGTTCTCCTCGTTCCGCGCTCCTCACACTACCACCGACCGTGACATATATATATATAGGGATAAACCACTCAAGTTGCTTTTTTTTTTTTTGTCCATGAAAGTCAGTGTACAGATAATAAAAAGAGAGTAAAACACTAAAGAATAGAACAAAGCAATGAAATACCTCCAAAAACTTTGAAAATAAGACAAAGGACCACCCTATGATGTCATCCTCCTTTCCTTCTGTTTCATTACTGTGTGATCGTTATAGCAGACTTCCCTTCTCACCCGTGAAATAACTTCCTTTTAGAACGTTGTGGAGACTTAAACCTAATGTACTTTCACATATCTAATAGATGTGAACAACTAATCAGCACTATTTGCATCAGACTGGGTAGAGAAGCCAAGCACTGATAGAAACACGATCTCTTAAAATTCATTTTAGCACAAAGTCAGAGAGCTGAATGCCAAACAACGATCAGGTGACACACTGGGTCTTATGTCACTGTTGATCAATGTAATACTTTGGAAGAAATCCCATCAAAATTAAAGCCACCTGCTGGGAGAGAAATGTTCCTGGGTTGTTCTTGCTTTTCTGAAAATAATCAGTTATCTAAATGGTGAAATAGCAAAAGTTAAATGTAAAATTTGTCATCTACTCAAGTCACATCACTTGTATCACTTTTTTTCTGTGGAACAAATGTCTTAGTTTTTTGGTCCATAAATTAAAAGTCAGTAGGGTAAAATGTTGTTTTGAGCACCATCAATTTTCATTGTGTGGACTAAAACAGTTGAGACGTTGGGTAACACTTTAGAATAGGGAACACACATTCACTATTAATTAAGAGTTTTACCTCAATAAACTCCTAATTTGTTGGTTATTAATAGTTAGTAAGGTAGTTGTTAAATTTAGGTGTGGGATCGGATTAAGGGATCTAAAATATGGTCATGCAGAATAAGGCATTAACGTGTGCTTTATAAGCAGAGATGGGCACAAATACATCAAAAAATATTTTGTTACAAATTACAAATACTTGCTCATCAAATGTATTTCATTAAAATACAGGTGTGAGAAATGTACTAAATTAAAATACAAGTAATTTGTAATTTTTGAATTTGAAAATACAAAAATACATATACAATATTTACAAGCAATCATTTGAAGTGCAAGAGACAGTGCCATTACAGTAGAGTAAGATAAAACACATTTAGTAATAGTGGAGTTAGATACTGTAATGATCAGTCCACTGTAGGCGAGTTGAAGATGAACCCAAGTGCAGCTTTATTTACAAAGTGATCCAGAATCCAAACAATTAACACAGACTTGATGTGACTTGACTTAGAGTTTTACCTCAATAAACTCCTAATTTGTTGGTTATTAATAGTTAGTAAGGTAGTTGTTAAATTTAGGTGTGGGATCGGATTAAGGGATCTAAAATATGGTCATGCAGAATAAGGCATTAACGTGTGCTTTATAAGCAGAGATGGGCACAAATACATCAAAAAATATTTTGTTACAAATTACAAATACTTGCTCATCAAATGTATTTCATTAAAATACAGGTGTGAGAAATGTACTAAATTAAAATACAAGTAATTTGTAATTTTTGAATTTGAAAATACAAAAATACATATACAATATTTACAAGCAATCATTTGAAGTGCAAGAGACAGTGCCATTACAGTAGAGTAAGATAAAACACATTTAGTAATAGTGGAGTTAGATACTGTAATGATCAGTCCACTGTAGGCGAGTTGAAGATGAACCCAAGTGCAGCTTTATTTACAAAGTGATCCAGAATCCAAACAATTAACACAGACTTGATGTGACTTGACTTGAACAGACTAGACTAGACTTGACTTAAACACAAACCGACAGCAGGATAAATACATTCAATACACGACCAGGAACAAAGGCAACAACATGGCTACTTATAGCAAACAAAGAGGGTCACATGACATGAACAAACCAATGGGAAACAAGACACATGACCTAGACAACCAATCAGAACATGACACAATGAACAGAGGAACCAATAGCATGAAGACAAGATGGCAAGGGAAGCATGACACTAACAGCATGAAACAATTACAAAATAAAAGACATGAAAACATGAACATGACAAAACCCAAAACAGACCTTACAGATACACTCATAAGAGAAAGAGAAGTGCTTTCCCCTCTTTGAACAAATTATAGACAACATATTCTTTAACCATAACACTAGACACTAAAATATTCTAGAGCATTAGCCAGGATGGAGTCTATTTACTTCATCTTAATAATTTATTCTTCATTTTGTAAAACTTTTAATTTAAGAAGACACAAAATTGACAGAAAACGTAGTAAGGAAAAACGGTATCTTTATCCTAAAGAGGTAGACAGTATGACCAAAAATTCTATTTCATATAACAATGTATGTCACAATATAGTTATTTTTAATTGATTTGATTTTTATTAGTAAAAATAAGCACAAAGATGAAAATAACAAACAACATGGCTAGTACAATTTAGTAACGATATAAATGAAATTGAAATGACATTTTTATAAAGATCCTTTATGTTATTCATACACAGTATTCTAACAGTAGCATTTTAGTAAAAAATAACAGAAATTTAATGATCAAATGTAAAATAAAACTGCATTTTCTTTACTCTATGAATTACATGTACTGTAGATTGATCATGGTTAAAGTTACTTAAGTAATTCAGTCAAGAGCAGTGAGTTATTTTCTCTTTGTCTTATTGTCTGAATACAAATAATGCATTACATGGATCCAATATATCAATCCATATTTCTTCTAATTTCTTATGTTCACTTAAGACACAACCGACTGTGTTTACGTGAATATCATCAAGCATGCCTATGCTTTATTTTTTCATTCATGTTTCTTTATCGCTCCAACACGCCAAAAATTAAGCAGTCCTGCAGAACAATAGTATATTGTCATACTGCCTAGTCCTACTCAAGAGGATGGATCACGCAATTTCACTGTCAACAATGAAGATTAACTCGTAAAAATGCTGATATTTAGATGTTGAATGGGGCTCTGTGTAGAGTTCAGAAACTCTTGTTATTAGCAACCGGTGGCTGTTAAGTGAACTGCAGCCAGCAACTTACTGGTCGTGCTTGTGCACACACTCCATAGTTATGCGAGTGAGCGACGGCCAAAACAGTGAGTGAACGTGATCCACCACATGTGACGACCCCGGGCTGGACTCCGCTTCATCCACGGTGAAAGCCGATCCGGCGATCCACAGCGCGAAGTTGAAGTATTTCCTCAGCGACCAGCACGGATCAGCTCCAGGCATGACGAAGCGGATATCATCCTCTTTTGGAAGGCCAAACAAAGTAGTTTCGCATTGACAACGAAACACACAGCGCCTTCACGACATGGCGGAGATGGCAACAACAATACTACAGCGAGAATAAAAGTTATGCCTTCTTTCTTTGCATGAACATTTTGGCGGCGTTATGCAAATCTTCCCACATTGTGACGTAGACATGTGGGGGCGTGGTAGAATGAACCGTTTTAGGTAGGCGTGGTTGACTCTTAACTTTTATAAAGAATATCTCTTTGGATTTGAGACTTTAGTCTTTGCAACTTTACAGATCTTCTTTATGCACCAAGAGCTTGTAACACTCCAAAGAGAAAGGAAAAATTTTAATCGCATCATATGACCTCTTTAATACTTGAAAATGCTTTCATATAGCCCCTTTAAAATTTTGTCCATAGAAACAAGTAGCTAACTTCAGCTATAGCAATCAAATTCACGAGTTCTAGAGCAGCACAGCTATTTACGAATTGCTCTTTTCTTCTGTCCTGTAATGACATTCAGTGTGCAATATCTGATAGTATGTATTTTAGTACATACTTAACCAGTTTGCACTGGGCACCAAAACAGTTTCTTTCATTGTTTTTTTTTCCCAGTTGGAACCAACCATGGGCGCTAAGACTCCATCTATGGGTCCAACACGATGTCATATGATTCGCTTGCATCTTGCCAAAAACTGTGATAAGTCCGCAGAAGAAGAAACTCTTTCAAAATTATTTTTCAAAAGTCAAATGATGGCAGATTTAAAAAAATTTGGTGAAATGCAAAGAATATACACAATATATAAAGAAGTTAGTCACAAAAATGCTCATAAACAGATTTTTAAAAACATTTTACTTAATTGTCCTCATTTTCAGAATTTGACGGCCACTCGTCCACTGTAAGATACCAAACCAAAACCCCTGGATTCAGTTCCAAGTCTGTTATCCACAATGGCAACAGAACAATGGCGGTAAGTGTGACCACATTCACTACATTTCCAATTGCATAATTTATTTGAAGCCAATACTAACTGAGCCTGTTTTAGTAAAGCATTAAGCTTTACAATAGACCCTGCGATAACATTTCCGTATAATTTCAAGGTCCAATTTTAAAAGCCCAGACAGGAATCGAATTGTTTACAGAAAGGAATCACATTGTTAATTTCAAACGGCAAGTTCTTGATGTTAGCTACTGAGTTAAATTCTATAATTGTATATTATTTTGCACTAATAGCACTATTAAAATCAGGTCAGAACAGCCATCCGTGAATAGTTATTTGTTGGATTGATTGCAAAGTCCACAATCCCTTGACAATTGACACTCTGTGTGGCTGCACCCTACAAACACAATGATGCGGTATTTTGCGTTCTCCTGTGGGAGCTGTGTTTAGAAAGTGAAGCGGCGTACTAGCAAGCTGCAGAATTGAACTCAGAGCCCAATGTGCATCTGAAACATTCCTAACCCAAGACCTCATAAGCCAAATGGTGGACTGGAGGCCAAGTTATCCCTTCTGTGTGATAGCAGTGAGCCTGCAAGAGCAGTTAGCATGTGCTTAATCACGTAATCACTGTATAATTTTCATATTCATATGACTTCCTTTTACTCAGATGCCTCGACTGTCTCAGTGCACAGGAGAATTTTCCTCTCGCTCTGCAGTAGAAATGGGCACTCGGCAGAGAATCAGTCATGGTGTGCCTGTGCCTGCCGTAGTGGGCCGTCCGTACATGTACCATGATGACGCACATCTGAGTGGCTCTTACAACCAGATGCAAACATCGGAATCAAGGACACTGAGTCGGACTGAGCAGGAGGCAGCAGCAATGGCCGGGCTCACGTTGCAACGGCAGCCATCTCCTGTGGGGAACTGGATGGCGTCCTATAGCCACAGCTCTTCACCCAACGTGGTGCAAAGACAGCACACTCTTAGTGGGACCCTGGCACGAGAGGGTTTCAGCACAGGATGGGGGGAAGCAGAGTTGGCTAATCAATATTCATTTAAAGGCCCTTCCCACCGAACCATCAGCCGCATAAATAATCGTCAGGTGCAGCAGCAGCCACAACAGCAAAGGCAGAGCAGCAGCTCGATGCAGTGGCAGCAGATGTCCACTGGGGGCACCAATATGATGGGTGCTGGGCATTACCAGGGTACCATGAAGAGAGCGGGGTCTGTGCATAGTATGAAGAGTGTCGGTCGTGGTGTGGATGTTTATGACGGATTGGCCGATGGAACCGCAGATGCTCTTGGCGGGTAATGTAAAATCATCTTTTAACTGATATGGGCCCATATTCACGAAACATCTTAAGGCTAAAAGTAGCTCGTAACTCGCCGATTTAGGAGAAAATCTTTAAAATAATGGGCATGTCAGTCCTAAATTTAGGACTCCTACATTTTTGATCTAAAAGTATTTCACAAAGAATTTTAGCTCTAAAACTAGCTTCTAAATCTGTGAAACGTTAGGAGTAGTGAAGAGGACTCCTAAGTCACTAAGACCAAGCCACAAACTACCCTAAAATGGCTGTTGCAGGCAATCTGCCTTGGAACGTATACATTTTAGAAATATTTGATGATAATGAGCTTTTATAAAGGCATCATATTCGGTTTTGAAGGTTATCCCAACTCCAAATTTTCCTTTGATTATGTCCTTGTGAAACGTTAGGAGTAGTGAAGAGGACTCCTAAGTCACTAAGACCAAGCCACAAACTACCCTAAAATGGCTGTTGCCGGCAATCTGCCTTGGAACGTATACATTTTAGAAATATTTGATGATAATGAGCTTTTATAAAGGCATCATATTCGGTTTTGAAGGTTACTCCAAATTTTCCTTTGATTATGTCCTTGTTTTCATTAACTAGTTGGGCAAGAAGTAACAGCTGTGCTTGTGTCCAGTTTGGTTTTCTTTTACATTTGCATGTCTTACTATCAGCCATGATTATTCTACTCTGTTTATTAAAAGGCTGTTTATTAGGGGTGCTCCGATTGATCGGCTACCGATCACTATCGGCCGATAATCGCTTTGGGATGATTGATCAGCAGTCTCTTAAAAGGCAGATCTAAAAAAAAAAACGATCTCAAACTGATGACGCGCCTGCTGTGAGAGGTTTGGCACGACATGCAGCGGCACCGTCTGTCTCTGTCCGATGCGGGTGAAATTATTATAATGCTGAAGGTGAGGTACAATGCATATTTCTTCATTAAATAACTCATAAAGTAATTTGAAAAAGTTTCTGTGAGACATAATTTCACAAACGGCGAGAGTGAATCACCGCGCACGCTCTCTTTCTCTCAAAATGCAAATTGCTTCAAATCACATCGCGTCTGCAATATAAGCGAGCTGCAGGCTACACAGTTGACACATGAATTGTCACTTGCACTATCGAGGCAGTGTCGCATCCTCACTAAAGTTTATACATTTCATTTTTTCATTTTAATTCTTGCCAGTGTTTAAACCATTCAACGCTCGCACGCTTTCCTGGAGACCGTGCGCTCATGCACACTCGCAGCGCACACACATAACGCCAGGTTCACATTACTTTGTTTGCAGTGCGTATGTGGTGCGTATTTTTTCCGCGCTCAAGTTTACGGATTAAAGCGTTCACACTGCACACACGGTTGCGGTCTGGCAGTGTGTTCCAGGAGCGGTGTGTCTGCAGCAGTGCAGAGATCGTTTCCGCACCGAGTCTATTTTTGCTGCGCTGCACTCGCTGAATTAAAGTCATTTAAACCATTCAACGCTCGCACGCTTTCCTGGAGACCGTGCGCTCATGCACACTCGCAGCGCACACACATAACGCCAGGTTCACATTACTTTGTTTGCAGTGCGTATGTGGTGCGTATTTTTTCCGCGCTCAAGTTTACGGATTAAAGCGTTCACACTGCACACACGGTTGCGGTCTGGCAGTGTGTTCCAGGAGCGGTGTGTCTGCAGCAGTGCAGAGATCGTTTCCGCACCGAGTCTATTTTTGCTGCGCTGCACTCGCTGAATTAAAGTAACCGCGCATTGTTCGCGGTAAATATGAACATGCATTGACACAAAAATGTAGTAATACACCATAAAGTGAGTGAGTGACGTGACATGACAAGGGCACCTCAGTCGTGGTATTGAAGGTGGGAGAGAGCACTGTACATTTACTCCCCCCACCTACAATCCCTGCCGGTACGAGACTCGACCCCGCAACCTTTGGGTTACGAGTCCGACTCTAACCATTAGGCCACGACTTTAAATGCATATAATTAAAGTCTACTGTGTTTCACAGTCAACAAAGGCTATGGCTTTTTGGCTAGGTTTAAAGGAAAAGAGCACTTTTAGATAAACAAGGCAATCATTTTAAAGTTCTTAATTAAAATTCTTTATGAACCGCAGGATTGCTTGTAATAAAGATTTACATGCAAAAGGAAAGGCAGTAGAGCTGACTGTTTCTGTCAGTGGAACGTTTTAATTTAGAATGTTTGTGATCATGTAAGAAAAGTATTTAAAATGTTTTGCTTTAGCAACTTAATATATAAATCTAAAGTAAATGCAAAAGTAAAAAGCATTGAATAATTGATGAAAGATTGTATTACTGTACTGTGTAAAAAAAAAAAATAATCACAATGCTGAAAAAGCATTTTAAGTAACAATGTTTGGATTTAAAATCAAAATAATGGATAAATGTTGCTCCTGATCCGTGGCTGTTTACCACAAACACAACATTTATCCATTATTTTGAGAACTTTTGCTTTAAACACTTGATGATGCATCATGAATTATTAGCAAAAATATGAAACACATACACAACCTTCAAAAGTATGGGATTGGTAAGATTTTTGTGTTTTTTTTAAATAAATCTCTTTTGCTCACCAAGGCTGCATTTATTTGATAAAAAAAAAGAAAATACAAAAAAACAGTAATATTGTAAAATGTGATTATATTTTAAAATGACTGTTTTCTGTTTTAGTATATTTTAAAATGTAGTTCATCCTTGTGATGGCAAAGCTAAAACTTCAGAACTTCAGCAGCCATTACTCCAGTTCTCAGTGTCACATGATTAGGGATGTAACGATTCACTCAACTCCCGATTCGATTCAATTCACGATTTTGATTTCACGATTCGATTTTCTCACAATTTTTTAAAAAATAAATCTCTTTTGCTCACCAAGGCTGCATTTATTTGATAAAAAAAAGAAAATACAAAAAAACAGTAATATTGTAAAATGTGATTATATTTTAAAATGACTGTTTTCTGTTTTAGTATATTTTAAAATGTAGTTCATCCTTGTGATGGCAAAGCTAAAACTTCAGAACTTCAGCAGCCATTACTCCAGTTCTCAGTGTCACATGATTAGGGATGTAACGATTCACTCAACTCCCGATTCGATTCAATTCACGATTTTGATTTCACGATTCGATTTTCTCACAATTTTTTAAAGAAAATTAGATTGAAGGCATTATACAGTAAATGAAAAGGTGTCATTTTATAAGGCCATTGCTGTACGTTTCTTTGTGAAATTGAAATATAACAAAACTAAATTGAAATTTTAAAACAAACCCCAAATCAAACAAGTAAGTTACACAAATAAAATAAATCTCTTAATATGAACAAACTTAAGGCTTTGTCTGTGCTCTTCCAAACAAAGAAGCAGCATACATGCAGCATGAGTAGTTTTTAATCTAAATTAGACTGTATAATTTCGAAATTTGAAGCAAAAACAGAATGGTGTGACATTAGTTTTGTGAAACTATACTACATAAAACATATCTGAATGAGCTGAATGAGATGCAGATTCACTTGCTGACAGCAGGTGGCGCTCATGAACAGCAATGATACAGTGTTTCCTGTAAACAAAGCAGAGCTGCACTTATAAACACTACTTTAATACGCATTGTTCAGAGGCAAGATGAAAAGAAAATACCACGTAAACTTTTCTAAAGATAGTCAGTTCCCCTCAGATATACATTCATATAAACGTCTACTCCAGTTGTATCGCGATTTGTTTACCATCTCAACCGATTTGAATCGTCACTATTTGAATCGATTTTCAACCGGCTCGCGGTTAATCGTTACATCCCTACACATGATCCTTAGAAATCACTCTTAATATGCTGATTTGCTGCTCAAGAAACATTATTATCAAGGTTGTGAAACAGTTGTGGCGCTTAATAGTTTTTGTGGAACCTGTGAAACATTTTTCAGGATTCTTTGATGAATAGAAAGTAAAAAAAAGAACAGCATTTATTTCAAGTAGAAATATGTAACAATCCAAAAGTCTTTACTGTCAATCAATTTAATATATCCTTGCTGGATAAAAGTATTAATTTCTTTAAAAAAAAATCTTACTCTGACTTTCCCTAAACGTTTGATGGGTAATGTATTCAATTATGCTCATGATCCTTAGAAATCACTCTTAATATGCTGATTTGCTGCTCAAGAAACATTATTATCAAGGTTGTGAAACAGTTGTGGCGCTTAATAGTTTTTGTGGAACCTGTGAAACATTTTTCAGGATTCTTTGATGAATAGAAAGTTAAAAAAAGAACAGCATTTATTTCAAGTAGAAATATGTAACAATCCAAAAGTCTTTTCAATTTAATATATCCTTGCTGGATAAAAGTATTAATTTCTTTAAAAAAAAATCTTACTCTGACTTTCCCTAAACGTTTGATGGGTAATGTATTCAATTATGCTCACAAATTAAATATAATTTTATTTAATAAAAAACATATTCAAAATTTTAAGTATATTATATTTTTAGAATATATTTTGTAACACTTTCTATTTTGTTTGTGTGAATGAACAGAATCCATAACCTGGACATGACTACAGCAGTCAGTTACCTCTCTTCCACTGATGTTGCTATGCAGATGTTGGGAGCAGCCTACATACAGCATCAGTGTTACCACAGCAATGAAGCCAAGACCATGGTAAAAATATATCATTATATATTTATTAGATCAGAAATATACATTTGAAACAAAGGACACTATGGAAATAACACATACTGTACTATGACAGAACTAAGGAAATGAGAATAGAGATCCCATTTTACCTTTATATTTCACACTAGTCGGTGAAACCTCATGCACTTATTAATGTCCTTGTGAAAGATATCCAATAATGTTATGATTTTTCCAAATAACCACTAATATTTGATTTTTTTTAAACTTCGAAACATTTCACAATTCAGTCGAAATCAACAACGAAATGAGATCATATGTTTTAATGTGATTGGTTACGGTGTCGTTTTTTCGATTTCCTTGGGGTCCATCCTGGGCAGACAGCAATTTTTGCTTAAGTATATTATCGAGGCTTTCAGTCCAGGGCAGCAACAGAGCTCTGTTTGGACATAATTAGAGGGCGTCCACACAGGATGTGTTCTTCCTTTCAAAATCAGCTAGATGAAGTGCATCCAACAGGAACAGAATGCCGGGCCTAGTGACGTGTTTTAAAAAGTTGAACTCTTATGAACTTCACACTTTGTCTAAAAATCTCAAAGCTCACGGCCCGAGACACTGAAGAAACAGGTAGCACCAACCAAAGACTGATGCATAAGTACAATAACCCATTGTGCAAAATATAGCGCAGAATGAATCCTCCTCAAGGGGTTGGTTGATTTATCTGTTGAGTGGTCGAGTAGACAAAAAGTCTATAAACATAAACCATGTTCAAGGGAAGAAATTAAGACAAATAGACAACTCTACAACAAAAAGTAAATCATGTGAAGTTTGTTTAAAAAAAAAAATTAGTTGTCAGCAAAATATGTATATTTGCATAATTAATGGAGCATGGTAAAGCTCAAGGCTAAGCTGATTTTCCGTCTCTATTGTTATATGTTATACTCAAGCCAGATGGAGAGACTACCTTCACCCTGCCTTTAATCTTTATCCTGGACCTCAGGGGGCAGAGCATTCCGCCTGAGAGCACATGATGGCAAAACACAGACAGATGTCTGAGCAGGTTGCCATGTTGTGCTGAAAAAAGTGTTCAAGAGATTAACGATTTTTGTCTATGAAGTGTGAAACACAAAAATGGGATTCAGAGACATGGGATCACTTAGGAATCAGGATATTTCTCACAGAGCTAAACTAGATGTTTTTCTTGATGCACAGGTGCGCAGTTTGAAGGGCATCTCAGCATTAGTACAGCTGTTTAGCAGTGAGAACCAAGAAGTTCAGCGCTATGCGACAGGTGCTACACGCAACCTCATCTACGAGAATATGGACAACAAGACAGCACTTATCGAAGCTGGTGGAATTAGCAAACTAATTGGTGCTTTAAGAGAACCCGATGATGAACTACGCAAAAATATCACAGGTATGTTTGTGTGAGTTTTGTTTTTCAGAGCAAGGCAAATTTTTGGACTGTGAACTTCACTTTGCAAATACAAAGTGGCACGCATGTCTTAGCTAGAACTCAAGTATATACATCAGTATTTTTTTAGTCCAGAAATTCCACCTGCATCAGTTGGGTGATTTTTAAGTGCCAAGCAGAATTGTCAGTGCAGACAGGAAGAGAGCTAAGCGGAACAGTGAGCGAGTGTATTTGGAGAAACAGAGAGAACAGAAAAGAAAAAAGTGGTCTGGCTGTTTCCTGGAATCGCTCTAAGTCTCAAATGCAGTGGGAAGTAGACTCCCAGAGGCCTTTGTGCTTTGTGAGCTCTGCTATCACCCCCACCCTCTCGCGCACCCACACTCACTTAGTAAACAATCCTTGACATTCTTTCCTGCTGGACTCAGGGTTGCCAGGTCTCTTAGTGACATTTCATGATTTGTACACTTAACTGTGTTGGCCTTAAAACCTCACAAGTCACTAGCAGCTTAGTGCTCTGTGTAGTAAACATCCCCATACTAAATAACATTTGAGAACTTAGACTATAAATGTAAATGTGCTGTTGTCTTATATGTGCAGTAGTTCTCAATTATGCACTTTTTGCAGCATTTGAATTTGAATGCTTGACTACTACTTTACCATGACGGGGCGGTCATATGTTTAAAATATTCATCCCTGTCAGTTCGTCAATTATTTTCATAATGAAATGAATAAACATGTTTTTTTTTTGTTTTTTTTACATAAATCCATTTAGATTTATGAATGAATTATTTAGTCTGAATGGCAGAAATCCACATGATTTTTTATTTAAATTTTTTACAAACCACATGGTTTAGGTGGTGAAATTGGATTACAGTAATTTTTTGGGATACATATATGTAGATACAAAGTATGCTTTAGTAGTGAAAGAAATACTTTATATATATATATACAGTATATATATATATATATATATATATATATATATATATATATATATATATGATATAAC